ACACACACACACACACACACACACACACACACACACACACACAGGCACACACACACACACGGCACTTGGTGCTGTCCCTGTCAGCCATGCACTGTTTCCCTACCTGTCACATCAACAGGAGGCAGGGCCCTGTCCTGCGCCCCTGGGAGTCCGGGAGGGGGTGTTGGGCCGACAGTGGCTCAGAGGCCCCTAATGGATGTCTGCTAGGAGGACGGCAGGGTCCCGATGGCGTGGCAGTGATGGGCGGCATGTGTGCACGCGTGTGTGGTAGCCGTGCGAGCAGCTTCTCCAGCAGGGCAGGCCTTCCTGTTCCCGGCTCAGCCGGATCTGCTGACCCGCAAGACTGAGGCTGGGTTCCAGGATCCAGCGCCTGGGGACGGGGGCGGAGAGTTGCTGTGCTGAATGATTTGGAGCTCAGGAAAGGGCTGAAAGGGATGGGGGAGAGGATGGGGAGCCCCGGGCCCATCTCCCCGTGACCTGGAGAGTAGGGCAGCTGGGTTTGCACCTCCCTCCCTCTCCCCCTTGGAGGGCAGCCACTTGGCCTGGCTCAGCCGCAGGTAAGGGGGGTGGGAATGGCAGAGCCCCTCCCTGCACCGAGCCCCGTGTGTGCGCAGCTGGCGGGGAGGGGGCACCGGCAAGGGGGCTTTCGGAGCTGTGGGGAGAGGGCAGGCTGGGTGATGGGGGCAGGCAGGTTTTCTGCGGTGAAAGGAAATGGCCCATCTGAATTGCTTTCCCCCTGCCTATCTTCCCTCCCCGGCCCCCTTCTCTTTTCGCAGATAACCAGCCCAAGTCATGCAGTCTTTCCGAGAAAGGTGCGGTTTCCATGGCAAACAACAGAACTACCAGCAGACCTCACAGGAGACACCGCGCCTGGAGGACTACAGGCAGCCGAGCCAGGCCGGGCTGAGCTGTGACCGGCAGAGGCTGCTAGCCAAGGACTATTACAGCTCGCCTTGCTGTATCCTTATGTGAACCGTTTTCTGTTTGTTTCCATCCCTGATATTTTTCTTTGTATGTCCTAATCTCTTCTTATAAGAACACCAGTAACATTTGTTAGAGCCTAAGTGTTATTTTATTCTCACCACAATGGTATAAAACTAGACAGCAGTACAATGAGAAAACAAGAAAACACACCAATATGTGGTAGTTACACAATACAGTCCTGAACAACTAATAGGTCTATAAAGAAATCAACGCCCTCCTTCCCCACCTCCTCCACCTACTCTCCCGCCGGCCAGGGCAGCGGGCAGGGGACTCACTCATTTAAAAGCTGCACAGTGCCGCCTGCCCAGCCCCACGATCGGCCGCTGGCGGCCAGCACCAGCCTGGCCCCGGGGCAGGGAGCCCAGAACCTGCACGCCTATCCGCCTGGCCGCCTCAGCTACAACCAGCAGAAGCCGCCGCCGCAGCAAGCCCTTCAGAGCCGACACCACGCTCAGGAAACCCTCCATTACCAAAACCTTGCCAAGTACCAACACTATGGGCAGCAAGGCCCGGGCTACTGCCAGCCAGAGGCGGCCCTCAGGACCCCGGAGCAGTACTACCAGACCTTCAGTCCCAGCTCCAGCCACTCGCCCGCACGCTCCCTGGGCCGCTCGCCCTCCTACAGCTCCACCCCGTCACCGCTGATGCCAAACCTGGAGAACTTCCCCTACAGCCAGCAGCCGCTCGGCGCCGGGCCTTTTCCCGCAGGCGGCGCTGACCACAGCCACTTCATGCCCCTGCTCAACCCCTCCCCGACCGACGCCACCAGCTCCGTGGACACGCAGGCCAGCAACTGCAAGCCGCTGCAGAAGGACAAGCTCCCCGAGAGCCTGCTGTCGGACCTCAGCCTGCAGAGCCTCACGGCCCTGACCTCGCAGGTGGCCAGCATCTCCAGTACCGTCCAGCAGCTGCTGCTCTCGAGGGCCGCGCCGCACAGGAAGGCCGCCAAGA